TAGATAATTTCTAACATACCTTTTACCTTTAAGATCCTGAGTCAGAGATCTATATATAATTTGTAATGTATATCATGAAGAAGAAAAAGAAATACAGGTGTCTGACTTCAGCAACTTGGGGAATGGTGCTGTCACTTACTAAAAGGGGAAGTCTGGGGGATGCTTTGGTACAGTGTAGAAATCAAGAGTTCTGTTCTGAACACATTAAATTTGAGAGGGTAATAGAAATGATTAACACTGATTAGGTGCTAACTGTGCCAGATACCAGGTAGTGTGGCAGGAAGTTGGGAGAGGCTGTGGGCCTTGGTTGGTCCCAGAGTATTCCTACTCTACCCCCTTGGTTCAAGAATGGATATACAACACCTACCAGGTCAATTAAAATCTTCCCTGGGGCTTTGATTGGAATATCAGGACCTATATTCTCTTTCTTCGGGGTTGCTAGTTGTGAGGTGCTTTAGGGGACCATTTTGGCTACCATACGGCAAGAACCTGCCTAAAAATAAAGACAACAAACAAGAAAAGATAAACTTATTGAATCCTGACTTGAAATTGGGTGGATAGAGCATAAGGAAATTAAGAGATTCAGAGTTGATTTTCGATGACACTTTTAATAGAAATGTATGGTTAAAGGAACACTGACAAACGAGTGCTATGTTAGAGAACAGTGTGTTAGGGGTCAGAGTGCTCAAAGGGAGCAATTAGATAAAGTTTTTAATGGTTTGTATTTTCAAAGGAAATGCTATACATATGCTTCTATTTTACAGTTACAATAAAATATGAAGAAAGACCAGACATAACACATTCAAGGTTAAAAATCAAAGAGTGCCGAGGAGAAATAATAGGCTTCCCTCTGATCTTTCAATTTAGAGAGGACAAAGCCAGAAGTGAAACTGTATAAAAACACCTCTTTAAAAAGATACCATATTCCTGACTTTATATGAGTTATCAAAGCTTGGTCTTTTCAAATTAGCTTATTTACCCTTGATGGGTAAGTTTCATTCTTTCTGGTTGCTTTGGTAAGTCACGTACTAGCAATTAGGAGAAAAAGAAGGGCCCAAAGGACAGTTTCTCTAACCAATAATTTTGCTTGTGGAAATGAAGGTGTTTAGGAAGAACTAATATACAAGAGAAAAAACTGGGAAAACAAGAAAATACTTCACAGATTCACTCAGAATATGTTAAAAATGACATTATAAAGGTCAGAAAGCAGATGGTATTAGTACTGCTAATAACAAAGAAGATGTGTTAAAGTGACAACTTCATGGTTATAGACTTATCACAAGTGGCATTGGAAGCAATCAAAAAATGAAAGGCTATTCCTGAGAATGCCATTAAATGTATATACTAAAGAACTGATTGACACGAATAAGATTACTTTTCTCTTTTACTCAGGACTCAAAAATTTGTTTAATAATAATACTAATAATAGTCAACAAAGCATCTTTCACAAACATTATTTAATTATCACAAAGATCCCATAAACTAGGTATTGTTTTAAATATATTTACATATATAATTTTATATCTAATTTTATATTATAACCTGAACATAATGGTAATTTTATATTAAGTATGCCATAAGTTAAGTAAATTAAACATTAAATATATAAATAATGTATTAAATGTATTTAAGTACCTTGTCCAGGACTATTTGGCTAAATGGCAGTACTGGAGGGCCAGCCTGTGGCTCACTTGGGAGAGCGTGGTGCTGATAACACTAAGTCAAGGGTTAAGATCCCCTTACCAGTCATCTTAATAAATAAATAAGTAAGTAAGTAAGTAAGTAAATAAATAAATAAATAAAATGGCAGTACTGGAACTTGAACTGAGATCCCAGTTACTTCAAGTAAGTAAGTAAGTAAATAAATAAATAAATAAATAAAATGGCAGTACTGGAACTTGAACTGAGATCCCAGTTACTTCAAATCCAGAGTTCTTTCCATTATATCAGGAAACCCCCTCTCCTGGATCATCAGTCTTCATGCTAGAATGGATTCCTTCAATTCTCTTGGGTATTGCTCAGACTAAAATGAAATAGTGTACTACTGACCATTAGAACAAACTCGCTTATGTCTTGGGAACCTTTTAAATAGAATAGTTACCTACATGGAGGGGAGCCAGGCTTTGGCAATTTTCTTTCTAGATCAATAAGCTTTTCCAATCAGTTCAAATGTAAGAAGGAGGTGGAGAGGGCCGGCCTGGTGGCACACTTGGTAGAGTGCGGCGGCGCTCCTGCCAAGGGTTCGGATCCCATATAGAGACCGGTCCGCTCACTGGTTGAGCGCGGTGCGGGCGAGACACCATGGGTTGCAATCCCGTTACCGGTCACGAAAAAAGACAAAAAGGAAAAAAAAAAAAGAAGGAGGTGGAAAGAAGGAGATGAAATAGAAGAGGGAGAAAATCACAGGTTTAGAACTGGAATCACAGATTTAGAGCACAATGATTATCTAATTCAACTTCCTTAATTTTAGGAATGAAAGTAACTCTCCCAGATCCCACTGAGGTAAACAGCAGGACTGGAATCCATGCTGGCCACTTTATGCCCTCTGTTCTAAGTGGGGTTAACTCTAGCTCGGCCAACCTCCAACATGGCAAAGGCATTCCACACTTCTTGACATTGGCTCTTTGCCCCCAACTCCCACCATAAATTACATGAGGACTGTTGAAATCCATCTGAAGAAAATAAGTAGTCCTTGGAGACTAAAGATTTTTATTTTTTTCAAATCAATTCATTAAATACTTACTGAATTTCTACTATGTTTTATGCCATGGGGTATCTGAATATTTATGGATAGAGAGAACATACAACCCTGCCTTCAAGAATCTTATGCTTGCTGAGGCAATTTAGTCTCTAAATAATAAAGCTGCTATAAAACAATTTAGTTTCTAGATCAGGATCCCTCTATGAGAATCTGATACAAACTATGGATCTGCTCCTCAGAAAAATCCACACTGTTTTGTACATAGTCAGGAAATTAATGGATCCCCTAAAGTCCAACAATGATCATGAATTAAGAAGCTCTATTAGGGATAGCCGGTTAGCTCAGTTGCTTAGAGCTTGGTGTTATAACACCAAGGTCAAGGGTTTGGATCTCCACACTAACAAGCCACCCCACCCCCCCGCCAAAAAAAAAGAAAAGAAAAGAAAACAAAGAAGCTCTATTATAAGAGATTCACTGAGTAGCACCAAATAAAAACTACCTGAAGAATCAAAAATGAGACAGACTTTTCTATAATGCAAAATGAATAAACTTTATATCCCATGTTAAGGCAAAGAAACTGCTTTCCCTAGTATCACCTGAATGCCTCTGTATAAGTACTTATTTTTCCCAGTATCTAATTTTGTGTGTGTTTTATTTCATGAGAATGTCTTGTCTACTTTCAGACTTTCTAGAATGGCCTTTTCATATTGATATATTTATATATATATAAGTACAAAGATAAACTTCATTAAAACCAGAAGAAACACGGCTTAGCTAATGAATTATTCTATTTCAAATTTTTTATCTAGCTTGGAATGCCGTTTCTAAGGCTTTGATGCCAAAGGGAGTAAAGTCATTAAGATGAGTTGATAATACTGCAACATGAGCACTTTCTTCTTTACAAAAAAAGCACTTAGATCTTTTGGAATTTAAATTAATTTCTTAATAAAAAGGGAAAGGCTGACGGACAACAAGTAAAGAAATCTCTGTAGAAGTGAGAAACTGTACAATCAACACTTAACGTTTCATAGTTTCCTAAAAGCTTTGTATAAATCAGAAAAAATATACCAAGCCCTTTAATAAATAGGTTATCTGGTTATGTTAAATGTTTTTTAAACGTACATACTCTGAATCAAATAAATGAAGCAGCTAGAATAAACATATTCTTGAGTATACTGGCAGAGTGAACAAAATAGTAAAGGAAACTAGGTTAAAATGTTTCCATTTACTTTTTTTAAACCTATAAGTAAATACTCTCATAATTCCATCGATACTTTGACTACATTAGGTATAATAAAGTTGAATGGAAAAAAATGTAACTTGGGCAGGCCTGGTGGCGCACTGGAGAGTGCGCCGCTTGGGAGTATGGCGGCGCTCCCGCCGAGGGTTTGGATCCCATGTGGAGACCGGTTCCTGCTCACTGGTTGAGCGCGGTGCGGGCGCAACACCGAGGGTTGCGATCCCGTTACCGGTCAGTAAAAAAGACAAAAAGGAAAAAAAAAAAAAGAAAAAAATGTAACTCAAAGACTGGAGAAAGCACTTGGATCCCTTATTGTCATTAGCACTTTAAATGGATTAGTGATATAAATTATTAGTAAATAGTCACGAAAGTCTGGAGAAAAGATTTTTTAAATGACTATTTATAGAACAAAGATAAACTTTCTAAAATACCAACTCATTAAATTTTTCCTTAAAAATGGAGAAGAGGCCAACCCAACCACAATCTCAACAAGCATAATTTCAAAAGGCAGTTCAGGGCCGAGCCCGTGGCGCACTCAGGAGAGTGTGGCGCTGGGAGCGCAGCAGTGCTTCCACCGCAGGTTCGGATCCTATATAGGGATGACCGGTTTGCTCACAGCGCTCACTGGCTGAGCGTGGTGCAGCCGGTCTCAAAAACGGAAGGAAAAAAAAGAAAAGGCAGTTCAGCTCAAGTTTAAAGGGACCTAGTGCTAGGCAGATTCTGATTTTTTTTAAAAATCCACAGAGAATAGCCCACAAGACAGAGAAGAATACACCCTCTCACCATGACAGACCAATATGACTTGTTAAAGAACGTGATTCTTCTACAAGGCACATTTTCACAAAAAGGGAAGGAATTAAGCTTTTTCAGAGGGAGAAGGGAACAAAAGAAAGACTAGAAATGATATAAACAAAGACTTCAGGCTAAATGTCAACCATAAATCAAAAGAAGGATAATTCCTTTTCCTCACATGGAATTGTTGATATTAAATATATTTAAAATCTAATGACATACTAATAAAGCAGGACATATTTATAGGATCAATGAACATATACATACCACAGGTTGTTTTGTGATGTCCACCAAGTCCTTAAGATTATAATACTGATGTTTCTCAAAGGCTGAAAACAGCATGTCTAAAACGTGTTGTTTATCAGCTCGAGCTCGCTTTCCATCTTCTTTCTTTTTCCTTTCATATTCAATCTATATGCAAAAAGCAAAAGAAATAAAGGCATCGATTCAACATGCTCACTTTGAAACACAGGCGTTCTCTTTTTAGTCACCCAATTACTATTAAATTTTAAGTTCTGAAGCAGCAGGCCTCTCAACAATGGCTCAGAACCTAGGGTCCTTGTTGCTCCCAGGGCTTGTCATACCTCTAAGACTCTAAGATAGTAACAATGCTGATCTGTAAACCATTTTCATTACTTCCTAAAGTTTTACGTAATGTGTCCATTTCCCTACAAAAAGGCTTTACTTGCCAAAGTTATATCAATTCAACGTAGCTAACTAGTTAGCTCAAGTTGATCAGAATCTCTAACTTGCAATTCCTTTGTTTTCAACTAACCAAAACATAGTACAGTAGTTTAACAGACACAGTTTGGAAGGTACTATCTTTCAAACATGGAATTCTTGGGAGAAGGCAGATCACAGAACAGGTTCTCTAGGGAGTGAAAAATTTGGGAAGCATTGGTAAAAAGGAAAGGACATGGTCAGTGACAGGAAACCTTTTCTCATCCTTACCTTGTGCAACCTCCTTGAACTTGATTCTTCTATAAAATGAAGTAAGTTTAACAACAGAGAGGGGTAAATATATACTCTGTGCTCGGGCACAAGCAAACCATTTTTCTGAAATCCCCATTTTATCTTAAAACTTCATGTGGCTTCTAAATTCACCTGTTTGATACTTTTACTTTTAACACAAAAATAGAAAAAAAAAAAAAAAACCTTTTATCCATATAAAAATGACACTCTAGGCCCATGTGGTATGTTTATCCTATAGTTTTGAGTATCTCCATGCACATCTGTGAAAAGCAGTGGCCCTAAGAGAATGTGGAAGTTCTCTCCTACTGTTACCATCCTGGACTGATCATTTGTAAAAAATTACCTTTTTATCAAAATATGCAACTTCTATTCACTTATTTCAGTTTGTTTTTTTTTTTTTTTTTTTTTTTTTTTTTTTTTTTTGTTTTTTTCTTTTTTTTTTTTGTCTTTTGTCTTTTTTCCGTGTCCGGCAACGGGGTCGCAAGCCTCGGTGTTGCTCCCGTGCCTCGCTCAGCCAGTGAGTGGGAACCGGTCTGTATGTGGGATCCGAACCCTCGGACGGGAGCGCCGCCGCGCTTCCCAAGCGGCGCACTATCCAGTGTGCCACCGGGCCGGCCCGCAGTTTGTTTTTTTTTTTAAAGAAACACTTCATTTTTATAAACTCAGGAACTTGTTAGAGAAAATATATATACACTATAGCAGCCAATCTAGTAAATAAAGCATCAGTAATCTAGATGAAAGCTGCCAGTGCACAATCTCCTGTACATCAGCTGGAATAACTATATTCTGAGGACTAGCTTCAAAAATAATAAAATGCCATTTCAAAACTTACAACTAAATTATTGCATAAACCCTAGCCTCATGTAGATAGGCTTCCTCTATATTTTAACAATAGAGATTTGTTATAAAAAAACATAAAATTTAGTTTCTATTGATCTACTGAAGTTAAAACTAAAAATATATCTTACACATAATCACAGACTTTGAAATTAGTGGCAAAAAGTAACTGACAATGCCACAGCACAGCAGAGCCTCAGTTGGTCTCAAATAGCTGATCTCCTGCTGTCCCAGGACCAGAGTCCGGTGGGGAGAGGCCTTATCCTGGGAAATGGGGAACAGCCAGAAAGGGGGCTGCCCCCTTACCTGTCATGCAACACATGCATTCGTGGGGAACCTAGTACTAAACCGTTCGTACATGATCTGCTTCTGGGTGGGGCTTTCCCGGTAGCAGAGCAGCTCTCTTGCTGCGATCTATTTAGAATCAGCCCTAGACAAAAAGGTTTTTTCCTTTTGTAAAATTTCTTTTAAAAAGAAAAAAAAGGTAACTGAAAACACTGAGTATCTGTCTTTCAGTGAAATAAAATTAGGATATAGACAAGGGTGAAAGAACTAACTTAATCACCCTAATTTTCTTTTTCTTTTTTTTTTTTTCCTTTTTGTCTTTTTTACTGACCGGTAATGGGATCGCAACCCTCGGTGTTGCGCCCGCACCGCGCTCAGCCAGTGAGCGGGAACCGGTCTCCACATGGGATCTGAACCCTCGGCGGGAGCGCCGCCGCGCTCCCAAGCAGCGCACTCTCCAGTGTGCCACTGGGCCGGCCCTCACCCTAATTTTCTTTTTCTTTTTTTTTTTCCTTTTTGTCTTTTTTACTGACCGGTAACGGGATCGCAACCCTCGGTGTTGCGCCCGCACCGCGCTCAGCCAG